GAACGCTGACCTAGTCGAATTTGCCGACCTCAGCATCTGTGCTTACACACAGACCAATATTAATGAGGAAACCGGGATTTATTCACAAAGTATTTTGTTTAAATCGTTAATTGTGATCGTTAATAATATTCCTGTCCATCATATACTGCCATGGACGGCATATCATTAGCGGTCACAATTAACCATTACAAACAAATACTTTGTAAATAAATGCCGGTTTCCTCGGTAATCCCGTCTGTACATAAACGCAGATACTGGGTCGGAGTTCTCGACAGAACACCAGCACTAAAATTTTAAACAAGCGGCTGCCTGAGGTCCCACGCTTGCTGGGGACCTCGGCAGCCTTCCTGTTAACCATGCAGTGCTGTGGGGTTGGGGGGGGGCCCTTCATGGTTTCTTGCACTGGGGCCCTGAAGGTTCTAGTTATGCCTCTGACAGTCCTCACAGGATGTCTCCAACTTACAAGCAGATCTGAATGCACTGTGTGATTGGGCAACTATTTGGCAAATGAGGTTTAATCTTGATGAATGTAAAGTTCTGCACTTGGGGGCTAAAAACATGCATGTGTCATACACTCTGGGGAGAGTATGTTTGGGGGGGGTCAATGGTGGAGAAAGATCTGGGTGTTCTGGTAGATCATAGACTCAGAAGATGTAGCAGGTTGTGTAGTGGAGGGGTACATATCCAGAGCAGGTGCAAGGGATTGTATTGGACTCTGTACAGTTACTCAGGCAGAGGATGGATCAGCAGCAGCTCCTTTAGATCGTTTATTTTTAGCTGGGCTGCGAGTGGTAGGGGAGTCAGGTGGAGATGACTCATCTCTCTGTCTGTGAGCAGCCGAAAATGGCAGGGAGTGTAAGCTGTCAGAGCGCGGTGATCTCGATCGCTCTGTGGGTTGCCTCGATCCAGCGCCATTTTGCTTATTTCCCGCCGGACGGGCTAGATAGAAGACAGTAAGCCCTTTACCCCTTTTCTTCATAATCGTACCTGATGGAGCAGGATAAGAGGATTATATTACCGCTGGTGATAGATAGGATCGCTCGCTGAGGAGACCGGTAAGTGCCGGGTAGTACTACAATGCGGCCATTACGATCGGCGGCCGGACACGCCCCCCCTGGTAGATCATAGACTGAATAATAGCATGCAATGCCAAGCTGCAGTTTCTAAAGCAAGCAAAATACTTTCTTGTATTATACGGGGTCTCTAGACTCCACAGATAGAGACATAATCCTACCCCTGTACAAGGCATTAGTAAGACCTCATCTGGAATATGCAGTTCAGTTATTGGCACCAGTTCACAAAAAGGATATTGTGGAACTGGAGAAAGTGCAGCGAAGGGCGACCAAACTCATAAGAGGCATGAAGGAGCTCAGCTATGAAGAACGATTAGCTGACCTGAATTTGTTCTCTCTGGAGAAAAGGCGATTAAGGGGGGACATGATCACCATGTATAAATACATAAATGGTCCATATAGTGAGCTTGGTGCCAAATTATTCACGTTAAGGTCACTGCAAAGGACAAGGGGGCACTCTTTGCGTCTGGACGAAAAGAGGTTTAACCTTTGCATACGGAAAGGATTCTTCACAGTTCAAGCTGTGAAAATGTGGAATAGACTCCCCCAGGAGCTAGTTCTAGCTAGCTCGGTTAATTGCATTAAAAAAATGGATGTATTCTTAAATGCACAGAATATTACTGGATATTGAGTTCTTATAGGTATATTAGGCATCGGAGATTGTTGATCCAGGCAATATCCGCTTGCCTTATGGGATAAGGGATCTGTCAGATGCTTCATTATGCGGCGAGAATCTGTCGCATGCGGTCGGGTCGGCGTGCGTAGTTTTTTTACATTATTTTTTATTTATTTGTATTTTTTTATTTCATTTATTTTATTTCTTTTTTTATTGATACTGGGTTAAGTCGGTGGATCAATTTGGGTTTTGTTTTTTTTACTAAAAGACTTGTCAACAACCTATCTTTTGTTTTTTTGTTTTTCAATTAAAGGAATATTTTTAAAGTCTGGCATCTAATTTAAACATTTAATGTAACCCTTTAGTGAATGGGTAGGGGTACAAGTACTCCTTATTTATTTAGGGGTGCCGCATCCAAGTGCCCCTTTATTGAATAATGTATTGATGTGAATAAGCCCCCTGCCAGCACCCCCACAACCAACGCCCCAGGACTTGTGGGGAAGAGGCCCTTGTCCCCAATGGCACAGTGGCAAGGTGCTTTTCCAGGGGCGACCCTGGAAAAGCACCCCCCCAGTGCCGAGGACATGTGGCCTGGTATCGCAGGGGGGGTGCCCGATCGCCCCCCCCCGTACCTGCCCTGCCAGGCCTGTGCTCAGATCAAGGGTCCGGTAACGATTTTTAGGGGGAACCCAATGTCCTATTTTCCCCCATGGGTACCTCCTTAAAATTCCTACCAGACCTTAAGGGCCTGGTATGACTTTTGGGGGGAGCCCCACACTTTTTTCTCCTTTTTAAATGGGGTCCCTCCTAACTTTCCTACCAGACCTAAATGGTCTGGTATTGTTTGGGAGGGGGACCCCACGCTGTTTTTATTTTCTTTAAAAATGTTTTTATTATTTTCTTAACTTTCTTTTAATTGCACTATTTTTTTACTTTTATTTAAATAAATTTAAATTTGTTTACGGTTTTTTTTTCTTCTACTTGCTACCTCCGTGGTAGCGAGCAAGAATATAAAAAAAGTAAATAAATGGAAAAAAATTCAGGTCGGGTCAGCGTGCGTTGTTTTTTAAATTATTTTTTTCTTTTCTTTCAATTTTTTCAATTCTTATTTTCTTAACTTTTTTGAATTTTCCTATATAAAAAAAAAAATTTAAATAATTTGGAAACATTTTTTCTCATTCATTTACATTTTATTTTGTCAGGGTTTTGGCTCAGCTGATCCAGATGTTGGATGTTGGATGTTGGAGTCGAAGTTCCTCTACACTTTGGCTCAGCTGAACATGCTGAACATGCTGAGCATGTTCGGCTGACCAAAGGCAAGCGAAGTACAGCTAATTTCAGCCGATGAAGCTCAAATCACCCGCACTGAGCCGAAGTGAATAGCCGAACGTCGTTCGCTGTTTAGCTGGGGTTCCCTGAGGACTCCTGACGTGAGTGGGCTCCTGCTGTCAGCCTTATCACTGTCATTAAATAACAAGAGGCTGACAGTGGTGGCCCACATACAGCAGAGCCAACAGTAGCAATAAGATAACAGAATCAATCTGGTATTTTTTATTATTAGAACTGACACCTCCTTCACTGAAAACTCTCTTTATGAGCCTTATGGCCAGTGTCAATGGGATTTTGTTCACATCAGTTTATTACAAGTCTATGAAAAAAATACAAAAACAGCTTGAAGCGGGTCAGGAATAGTGATGGGCCAGACACCCCCGTGTTCGGTTCGTATTCGAACACCCGAACGGCCGAAAAGTTCAAATACGAACTCGAACCTAATGTAAGTCAATGGGGGGTCGAACTTTCAAAAATGATTGTCCCCTTTAAGAGTGCTTATATGCAAGTTATTGTCCATAAAAGGTGTATGGGGGTCCAGGTACTGCCCTAGGGGACAGGACCCATTGACAGGAATCAATGAAAAAAGAAACAAATCAAAAACGTTTTTAAAGGAGCAGTAATTTTAACATGACTTAAATTCCTTCAAATATCGTGCCTGGGGGTTCCCGTTAACCTGCCTGTGAAGTGGCGGATCTGTAGGATGTATACAACCTGCTGCAGCAATACTGACATTTCCACACAAAAAAATTACATTTCTTTTTAACTCTTAGACCCCATTCACACTGAGCGACATGGAAATCGCGCGACTTTGAGCGACGTGTCGCGCGACATCTTCCTATTGGGCTGTATGCAATCAGGAGCAATATCGCTCAAAATCGCTCTAAAAAAGGGTCATGTAGAAGCGACAAGCTACCAGCGATATTGAGCGACGAGATGTGAACAGCTACATTGAAATGTATTGGTGAAGCTACATAGAGCAATATAGCGCAGAAATATGAGCGATATCGCTGCAAAAATCGCGCGATAAATCGCTCAATGTGAACGGGGCCTTAAAGTGTGCAGTTCCCCCTCCCAAACAATACCAGACCAGGTAGGAATGTTAGGAAGGACCTTTTTTTTATTAAAAAAAAAAGCATAGGGTTCCTCCTAAAAGCCATACCAGACCCTTAAAGGAGAATTATGAGACGAGTGATTTTCACTCAGCCTGATAATCTGAGCCGACCTGTGACAATGAAACTGTCACAGGTCGGCTCAGTAGATTGGGAAGTGAGCGAACACATACCATCGTTTCACAGCTTGCTGTAAGAATATAGAAAGTCTGTATGACAGCAGCATAAAGGTCTCCCAGACTAGAGGACTTGGCAGCAGCTTTGTGTCATGACTCTCTAAGGTACACACGGGGTTAATAGACACAGGTGAGGACAGCTCAGTCTGTATACCAAATCTAATATTGTTAAAGTTTAATTATAGCCAAAACATTTGTTTTTATTAGTTTTAAATTAAGTTATTAATTTTAGTACTGTCCTGGAAATATTCTTCACTTCCTGTTCTGAGGATGCAAGAAAAAATTTGAGTAAATCTTTCCAATATGAAGGGAATTTTCCCCTAGAGAGTTGTCCCAGGAACAGATGCCGCAAATGGAGGATTTACTCACCTCTTTCCTTGGTTACAAAACTGTATCATCAGGAGAAATAAAGGGGTGAATCTCCTGGTGGAGACAACAATAAAAACTGGGCAGGAGGTCTAATCCCTCATCCAAGAATTTGTCTTTACACTTACACTGTCACCAGCAACATTACATCTAACAAATCAGATACATGAAGATCTGTCAGGTTTCCAAGACCATGTTTCTTATATCATATTCACTGCATGTAAAAGAGGAAGGAGGTTTTTGTACGGCTCTGTATCACTGTGTGAGAGGGAGCTTGTTACTCTGCTGACAGTAATAAACTGCTTCATCTTCATCTTTAACATCTCTCATTGTGAGAGTGAAATCTGTTCCAAATCCAGATCCACTGAACCTGGCTGGGGCTCCAGATTGCAGATTGGTCGCATAGCTGATAATCAGTGTTGGAGGTTGTCCTTGTTTCTGCTGGTACCAGTGTAAGTAGCTGCCGATACCAGTACTGGATTGACATGAGATGGTGACTGTCTGTCCTAGAGTCGCAGTGATGTCATTCGGAGTCTGTCTCAGTGTAATCTGTGCCCAGGAACCTGAGGATGGTGAAGAAAATAGTCATTTCTGTATACACAAAAAAAGTATAAGCTTTCTCTCCTTTACATCTTTATTGAAGTCTCACCCTGAATATAAATCAGTATGAGAGGAAGTAGAATCCCCTGAGAACCCATTTTGATGTCTCTGCACTGACACACACAGACTACTGAGATGTCACTTGTACAATGTCTCCTATATAACGGCTGCAATCATTAGGGGGGGAACACCCTGACATCACATATGGAAATCAGGAAACATGCAAATCATTTCACATTTATTTATATCACATTATGGTTCAGTCTCTTCTCTTTGTCTTTCTTTATCTTGACAATACATAACATCTGATATTTTACAATTTTGGAAAAAAATAAAGACAACTAAAGAACACTTAATTTAGGGAACAAAGGATAATAAGATCTAGATCCCTTACACATCAACATCTAAATAACATAATCATTAGAGACAAAGCCCAAAGTCTTATGGCACCCAAGACAAAGATGACAAAATGCTCTCCTCCAATTCTAGCTGAGAATGCATGTTCTGATGTTTATATGTACAATGTCCAGACTGGTGCAGGGAGTGGAAATGACAAGCTGTTCATGGAGTTCACCCCCACCCCTTTTTTACCTTTTGGCCATTTATTTTTTGTTTGTCTTTTGCTCACTTAGTTTTTCTTCTTTAACATTTTTGTGTATAGATCTATCTATATCACAAACATATTTATATTTTAGCTACTCTTGTTTGACTCAATACCTCTGCTGGGTGAGTAGCACCCACAACTCTTTTGGTAAAATATTACTTTTTAGGGTCAGTTTTAAACTTTCCTCCTTTTAGTCTGAAATCAAGGCGCCCATTTTTGATCTCTGAAAAATATTCAAAATACTGCCCTTTTGAACTGTATTCATGTCCTTAGATTTATGAAGAACTTGTGACATGGTTAACCCAGTGTGATTTACTAATAATGAGCACGGTGAATCGGAGTCAGGGTTTCATTAACATTATGAAAACCAAAATGAGTTCTTCCATCTGGTAACCAAGGAATGCTTCTAACTCATCAAAAGTACAAAATAGATTTTTAAAATGTGTCCCTTTTTATAAAATCACTAGAAACATGTTCTGGTACAAAGAATACTTTACAAATGTAACTGAGGTTTTTCAAATATTTTATGTTTGTTTATTTGATACATAATATAAAAATACATGGGCAAATATATATATTTTTTTACCTGACATGGAAACAAAATCATCAAACATGTTTAGCTAAGGAAAGAAGGGGATGAAGGAGTTAATAAGAATAATTAGGGTTAAATAATTAATGATACCTAGTTAAATAGGTTAACTTAACCACAGGTTTCCTGGAGCTTACAATTAGCAATATATATGACATAACTTGTAACAATTGCCAATTACTTTAATTAAATACTATGCAGTAAAAGGGAGTTGAGTTTTAGTCATGTAAGCTAATTGCTCAGAACTCCTGCCATGCAGCCATAAGTTCCTGAAGTTGATTCCCACAAAGCACTCAATATGCATGGAGTTTGTAAGCACTTTACTTGTCTTAAAATGAATCACTTATTTGATTGGATTTGTGATGATGCCTATTAGTTATCCTAGTCATGTTATTTTTAATATAGGGTTTGCACAACAGGTGTATTAAAAACAAGCAATATTTTATGTGCAATGTTCTTTACATGCATTTTTAGGGCCAGTGCACACCTATGCGACACCATACCGCGCGGCAAGGAGTCGTATAGGTGGGCGCTGTTGTAGCTGCGATCATGTTCAGAAGGACGAGCGAAATCGCAGCGGAAAACTGCAAGATCCGCCCGGTGCGACTGGGGTGCCATTGGAAAATAATTGCACCCACAGCACGATCGGTACACACCTACCCAGATAGCAAGAAATTGAGCTGCAAGTTTGAAAATGACTTTCTAAACTATTGCAGACTTGCCAAGCTTCACAATTTTGTTGCACAATTACATCAAGTCTGCATTGCAGGTCTCCAGACCAGCGAGCTTGCAGAGCTCTTGCTAAGACCTGCAGGACTCTTGCTGTAGACTTGCTAAGCAAATTTGCTACAAATTCAAAAAGTGTCACCTAGACCTCGTGTTGCGAGTGTTCTGCAAGTCTACAACTTGCCAGAAATATGTGCAGCAAGTTAACAAAATTACAATTTCACCCTACCACAAGTTTGTAGCAAGTTATCCTTGCTATCTGGGTATGTGTCTCCTTACCGCGCGGCAATCCACCAGAATCATGCACGATTGCTGCACGGTACGGTGTAGCATAGGTGTGCACCGGCCCTTATAGATTAAAGATATAAAGACAGTGGTGCCTCTCCTAGGCAATATTCCCAACATTGACATTTTACTTATGGGGGGAATCTGGTGGGCTCAGTTTCTTGTTGGCTTCCATTCCATTAAATGAATTGTCCAACTATGAGAGTGGGGCAACCTCCTAATGCACACAAAAGATATGCAGGACTGGGGGATGAAAAGCATCTACCAGCACTGGTCAATTCAAATGTTCATCTCTGATCCCTTAGAGATTTCACCATCATACATCCCCTGCTGTCTTGGCATCAGAGGATTTTCTAACAATATCTATGAAGCAAACACCAAACAACAGTCAGGATGGCAGGATGACCTAACTGTAGAAATGTTTAGTAATGTTTATGACACTAGGGACTACTTCATAATGTGTGTTTGTGTTCAATTAATACTTTCTTTTTGTATACGTATGATGTTATGATCATTTTATTTATATAAATTGTTTGCTGGTATTACAATGGGATTTTGTACACAACAGTCTTAGCTGTGGAGTAAAGTATGCAGGACTATTTGGTTTATGACATTTTTGTATTGCTTTCTGTAGTTGTATTGCAAAAATGTAATCACTTCCTGTCTGATAAAAATATTGTTGGCGGGATAGAAAGTGAGGAAACATCTATCTAACAGAGCCCTTACAAGCAACATAAACCAGACTGGGGTTCTAATCCTTCCCCATTCTTTATAAAACTAAAAATGTGGCTGAATATACAGGACATGTTAAGACATTATATGTAAAAATATTGTTTGTATTTAGCCCTAATTCAAATGGTTAAATGATTATTTAACCAAATACACTGATGGGTGTGTGGTAAACTTAGGTGGGGTAGAGGAATGAGAGAGCTTAGGGTTAAGTCAGTGGGCTAGGAGACTTGCTCATATGTACTAAAATAGTTCACCTGGTATTTTAAGCCCAGCTTTATTATGAGGGAGGAATCTTCAAAACACAAAATTGTTCCTGGAAATGTGTCAGCTATCTAATTTGAAGTAAATACATGGCATCAGAAATAGAGAAGGACGTCTTTGTATCAATGTGTGTGAGGGAGACCTGCATACTGCTGATGGTAATATCTTCCTTTATAATTTCCACTCTCTATATCATCTTTGTGAGTAATTTCCTGATCCAGATCAACTGAACCTGTCAGATATCCCAGATACTTGATTACTGGGGTGATATAAGAGGAGTTTAGGAGGTTGGCCACCTTTCTTTTGGTACCAGACTATTATGTGACCTTTTTTCAGAGTCATAAGGACTTTTACTAAAAAAAAAAAAAACATGTCAGAGAGACTGTTCTGGTAACGCAGAGATATACATCATCCAAAGTCATCATTCCAAACTGTCCACAGTACCCTGAGAATTGGAAAAAATCTAAACTTCATCAAAAGATTTTGTCATAAAAAGATACAACTAAAATTGTCTATACTTCACATATAAGATCTATGTAAGGATCTATGTTCCATTTGAAACTTTTCTGTTCCTGATTGTTATTTTATATCTGACAACTAAACATAAGCTATCCCTATACCTTGGATGTAGACATACAAGACACAGAGTAGATATGTCAGAGGAAGCATCTTGATGTGTCTGGTCTGTCACACACACACACAGATCATTGACCTCCATGGTAAACTGTTTATATACCATGAAATCTATAGGGAAATAATCTTAGAGACTTACTATGTAAAGCAGGAAATATGCAAATGTTACAGTTTATGAAGAGCATCATATCTCAGTGCTCAGTAAAATGTGGAAATGCAGCAGTGTGATGTCAGGGTAGAATGCACCCAACATATTACATGCAGTGATGCTCATATTGTAAGATGTACAGGTAAAAAAAAAATAAAGAGGTGTGGATGACTGCTGCATAATATAAAAATCATTCCTTGCTGAAAGCTGGATAGTACACAGAGTGCTGTATTTCCAGAGCTGCAGGGTGGCAACATTGAATGGATCCAGCTGTATACCCACCTTCACCTTTCTGTCCATTCACAAAAAGCCTTATATTTTTCACAGAATTCAAGGCATTTTGTGAATGGTGAATGGGAGTTTTCATTATATAGCCTTCCTCTGCCTTGCTCTCCAGTTATCCAATCACAGAACTCAAGCCATTCCCTGTCCCAGCCACTGCTCTCATCCCTGCAGAGCCAAATACAGTGCTCTGTGTACTATCCAACTTCCAACAAGGTATAATTAGGTATAACTTACTTAACTTGTGCTATTTCTAAAATAAATGTATTGATTCCTATACATATCAGTAGGGAAAAAGGAAAAAAAAGTTTTAATTTCCCAAATATTTGAGAAAAATTGGGAGATTTAAAAATACTTATCTATTTCAGTGAAATGCGTTGGAGTCATTTTAGAAATGCAAAATGAAGGTGGTGTGTGGTGGTTTTTAAAGGTGCAATCACAATTAAATGGATTTTGAGTGTTCAAGAAGGTTTTTTTAAAATGATCCTTGTCCTGTTTCTGTGGCCCCTGATCAGCTTCAATATTTACTTTCTTTACAGAAAGAAAAAACTAACAAAAGTAAAATAAAAACTGTAAAGAGGCAGTATGCAAATAATGATCAAATACACAGAAAAAGGAATACCACAAATACAAAGAACACCAAGGGGTATAGTTATCAATGATTTTATCCAATATGTGTTGAAAATTCTCTGGTGACTTAATAGAATTTTCCCAGGACTCATTGACAATGATACACCAACAGGGTTATTCACAAAAGGGTGAAGAGTTTGGAGAAGGCAGGAGAAGTGATCATTCTAAGACAACATAGCTGATTTTGAAAAATTCTCCAATTCGGCTCACTTTCCAGTTCAGATATGTTGTCCTAGATTGTTCCTTCTCCTGACTTCTCCAAATTCTTCACCCTTTTGCGAATAACCCTGCAAGATTCACTCACTGAAAAAGAGATTTCCTGGCATTTGGCTTCTTCTATAGGAAAATATAATTACTTTAACATTCACATGTATGAAATGGGTGAATATTTCCTTCCCATCAAATTCCCCTGATAAATTCTTAAGCATGTATTACTACATTTGGTGGGTTTAGGATGTGGAATCATTTATTTTTTTACTAAAACTGCATTGATTGTCTATGATGAGTGCTGAACCTGTGTCACAAACACAGGTGCTTTTTTTATTTTTATATAACAAAAATCCAACAATGTGACACCCCTGCCTTCAAAAGCTAACTAGCCCACCATGCAATGCATATGGATTTACTGTATAGCTTGATTGCTAGTGAGATACGAGCATAAAGACCCTCTACTATGATAATACAAAACTGCATGTTCTTTGGTATGGGTGGTTGCTTTCAGTGGGGTTTCCCAAAATATAAGAGTCTCTGTCCCAAAGTGTTTAAAGCTGATGGGCACTGGGCTCTTCGGCAACCTGGTGTCCAGGAGGGGGTGCTAGCAAGGGGTAGTTAATGAAACACCTACTTGTTTCTTATAGGAGGCAAGTGTTTCCCAGTTCCTGGTCAACTGTTTTTTCAGGTCCGTCATACTCCTAATTAGTCCACTGTGCATTCTGGTAAACAAAAAAATGTAAGCAAACACACTTATACCCAAGAAAAAACATTTTATTAAATTTATGCTTAACTAACATTTTACATCCAGGTTCTAATAATGTCCCATGTGTTCATTTCATCTGGTCCAGTACTGATAGGTCAGAGGAAGGAACAGAACAGCGTCCCATTTCTCACCGCTCAAATGCACTTTTGGGCACCTAGGAAGTTTCCATGTTTGGCGCAGTTTTAAATCCCATGGGGACACTGGAGAAAACGTTTCTTTTGACATCACTACCCATATATATCCGAGGATGAGAGTGGGACCTCCTTCCAATGTTCACAATAGTTGTGCAGGACCAGGCATCAGGTCAGGTGTATGTCTGACTACTGAAATATCAGAAATAAAAGAAGCTATCAAGTGGTCTAAATCTCTAATATTTACCAGAGCTGATCAGTTATAAAGTTCATTAATGTTCCATTTTCAGATTCCACCATCTTCCTTCTCCTTCTGTATAGAGTACAAATATTTTGCACTGTAGACCAGCTGTAGAAATGTGTAAGTTTAAAACCTTAAAATAACCAGAGGCACCTTAGTAGTGTGTGCTTGTGTTTATTACTATTAAAGTCTATGTGTAGCCAGTGTTTAGGATAGAGTGGGCTAGATTTAGAACCCCCGTCCTCTTATGGAGCTAATGTTCACTTCATGTTTTGGTGACAAAGATTTTATCAGACAAGAAGTGAGGCTAATCCTCCAAACGCAACAAAAATAGAAAGGCTGTTTAGACTCGTGGGGTTGATTTTCTTAAGGCAAATAGGCTGTTCACTTTGCAGATGAATTTGCACTCTACAAGGAAATGTTTCACTTAGCTCAGTGAATGTGGTGAAACCAAATCACATGCAAGGAAAATAAAAAAAATTGTATTTGCTTGCAGATAATTGAATGATTAAAGTCATAGGAGCTTTACCTCATTCACTAAGGTGAAGACAAATTTCTGTGCAAAATACAAATTACCTTACAAAGTGAACAGCCTATAAACCCTTAGTAAATCAACTCCAAGGTGTTCTGGCCATTTTATTCAACAAACATCGTTTTCTGGTAACACCAGAGGTCATGCAATCAACAGTCTTGTCTTTGGAGGAAAGTGTACAGACTGGATTTGGTTTACAAAGCTTTTTATTGCTCTCTGTGTCATTGTTGCAAAGATTCAATGGCTTCCTTTCTGATGTTTATACTTTGACTTAATTTACATTTCAAAATGAATGCATAACCAAGTACAATCAATAATAAGGTGAAAACATGGGTGGGATAGTGGAGCGAAAACTCAGGTGTAAGTCAGTGGGCCAGGGGGTTGCTCATCATTTCAACTAAATAGTTTACCTATCATCTGAAACCCAGATTTATTCATGGGGATAGATCTTCAAAACACAATATTGTACATTGAAATAGGTGTCAGCTGCCTAATATGAGATAAATGACATCCAAAAAACAGAAGTAGGTTTTTGTGTGGCTTTGTATCACTGTGTGAGAGGGTCCTCACGAGCCTGCTGACAGTAATAACGTCCTTCATCCTCTTCACTCACTCCCTGTATCGTCATTGTGAATTGAGTTCCTGATCCAGATCCACTGAACCTATCTGGAATCCCAGATGCTCGGCTACTGGTGTGATACAAGAGGAGTTTAGGAGGTTGATCTGTTTTCTGTTGGTACCAGGCTATCAAGTGAGCACTTGCTGCAGAGTAATAAAGATTTTTACTAGATGTACATGTGAAGGTGACTGTCTGTCCCGGGGACACAGAGATAGAATCCGGAGTCTGAGTCATCACAATCTGTCCACAGGATCCTGAGGATGGGAAGAGACATATTCATTAATAAGAGATTTCATTATAAAAGATACAAAACATATACAAGTTAAATTGTCTATATTTCACACTATAGCTTTATGTAAAGATCTTACTTCTGTTTATGATGAATCAGAATGTTTAACGGTGTTCCCTATAAAGTAATTACCTGGCAAAATATTCTTAAAAGGTTTTCATAAGTTTTGTTAGTAAATCAGTTTTCTTAAGGCAAATATTTCTGAAGAAAATACATTAATTTATTCTTAAGTTTTTATCTTCTTGAATCTTTATATTTTTACCTCTTACAAGGAAAAACTATAAATATCCTCATACCTTGGATGTAGACATAAAAGACACAGAGTAGATATGTCAGAGGAAGCATCTTGATGTGTCTGGTCTGTCACACACACACAGATCACTGACCTTCATGGTAAACTGTTTATATACCATGAAATCTAGAGGGAAATAATCTCAGAGTCTCACTATGTAAAGCAGAAAATATTCAAATGTTACAGCTTATGAAGAGCATCATATCTCAGAGCTCAGTCAAATGCGGAAATGCAGAAGTTTGATGTCACGGTAAAATGCACCCAGCATATTACACATAGTGAGGCTCATTATGTAAGATTTTAAGAAGAACTCCAGGATTTTGAAAGGTTAACCCTTGCAATGGGACTACCCCCACACTGCAAGGGTTAACTGCTTGTTTTGTCTAGGGAGCAAATCTGGCTGTGAGACCGGTCCCCACAGCTTCTTCTCCCCCCAGGCTCTGATGGTTTAAGGACCCATGACAACATGACTAAGCAGGTCTAATAGACATGAAGAAACCTCAGCTGGAGTGAAGTCAAAACACAGCATTGTACTTGGAAATAAGTGGCAGCTATCTAATATGAGATAATTACATTACATAAAAAAAAGGAAAAAGATTTGTGTATGGCTCTGTATATCTGTGCAGGTGGGTATTCAATATACTGCTGAAAGTGATAGCTTCCTTCATCATCTTCACTCCATCCCTGTATCCTCATGGTAAACTGAGCTACTGATCCAGAACAACTGAACCTTTCTGGAATGTGGAATCCCAGATGCTCAACTACTGGTGTGATACAAGAGGAGTTTAGTAGGATGATCTGCTTTTGTTTGGTACCAGGCTATGAACCCTTTCGCAACCATAGTACAGAATGTCCCTGTAAACAGACTCCCGACGGCTTTAGCTTAGAAGCGATTCTGGTGTCTTAGCTGCTGCCAGATTGCTTCTATGGGCCACTAAAGTACCTGTTCCCCCTCCCCGATACCCCCGCCGTGTTTCCTGGGCTCCGCTGCCCCCTTCTGCGGGCTCGGGACCAGCATATTGGGTGCCGACAGGAATCTGGGGAGGAGAGTGGCAAACATCCTTTCACCTTTCTCTTCCCCGTTCTATGGGACCAAGAGCGACTTCAATAGCTTATTTAAAGTGAAATGGTGATACTAGGGGTCTTTTGGACCCCCAGTATTGACTTAAAGAGGACCTGTGACCACCAATATGCTATCACATGGGGGGCATGTAAGCACCCCTATGTGATAGCAATTAAAGTAAAGTTTAAAAAAAACCGTTGTAAAAAATAATATTAAAAAAAATGTAAAAATAATTGTAAAATGTTTTAAACTCCCCCGCAAGCACGCATTCACGCAAACACGTGTCGGATGCACCTACATACGAAAAAAACGATCACGCTACACATGTTGGGTATCGCTGCACCCACCAGAGTGAGAGCAATAATTGTAGGGCCAATGTTTATGTGTGTCTCTAAACCGATGACCTGTAGGGGCTTTTAAAGCTTAATCTATGGACTTTTGGGATACTGAAATGTGTCTGTTTCACAGACGCATTACATTTTTACCCTGGGCATGTTGGGTATCTATTTACTTATTGTAACCTCATCTTTTATATTTTACAAAACAAATGGGTAATTTTTTTGTTATGTTTTGGGGCACTAAAATTAACTTAAGTGCATATTTCACTAAAGTTTTGGATTTGATAAAGAGTTATGCCAATATCATAGAACATAAACATTTGCAACTGCCACCATTGTATTCACCAGGTGATGGCTTTCAGAAAATATATAATGTTTTGGGGTTTGAAATAATATTCAGGCCTAAAATGTAGATTATATCATGTGTGCAAAAAACGAAATAAAAAAAGGCCTTGGCAGCGAAAGGGTTAAGTAAAGCCTTGTGGTAGAGTAAAAAAGGCTTTAACTGGACATACAAGTCAGAGTGATTGTTTGTTCTGGTGGCACAGAGATAAAATCTGGAGCCTGAATCATCACAATATGTCCACAGGATGATGAGAACTGAAAGAGACGTAATCATTATCAATTGTGTCTAGCCATAATAGCCTTGTGAGAGAGAGAGAGGCCAAGTAAGTTTAGGAAGATATACAGAAGACCAGAGACTGTGTTCTATGTAAAAACATTTGATCTGTTTCAAATGCCACTTTTTGCAATGACATACATCCTTTAGAGCTAAGCCCTGCAGTTTCCGTACTCACCTGCGGGGGTCTCCAGGCAGCCAGGAACTGCTAGGTACCAGACCTCCACTGGGTGGTGCTGGAAACTGCAACTCCAGTGCTCACCTGCAGGTGTCTCCCAGCTGCCACCAATCCACCACCTGGTGCTCCCTGGGAGGTTACTTAAACCCTCCTTGCAGTAAGGTCTGTGGCTCAGTATTGTTTCCTGTTTCCTGTTAAGCCTGAGTCCCCAGTCCTGTAACCTGCTTCTGTTCCCGAGTCCTGTATCCTGTGTATGTTCCCTGCTTGTTGTCCAGAACTGTGACCTGTTTATGTTCCTGAGTCCTGTTAGCTCCTTGTACCCTGACCTTTCGTCCCTTAGTTCCCCTGGTGTTTTGCTTTGCTCCCTGGGTGTGCTTGCCTGTTTCTTCTTGCATGTGGTGTTGTTTAGATGTAGTTGGTTGCTACGACTTGTTTCGGTTTGTATTATTCTGGTTGGCATATTAAAACGGTATATCATATATTCTGCCTTGTCCTGTGTGGTCACGTGTTTGGTCTGCCTGTGTGGGTACCTGCGCAGGTGTGGGGTCACCTGTGCCGGTATCCCTGACACAATCAGTTTGTTAGAGCAAGAATTGGAGTTGGGATAGGGAGGTTTGGAATAAAAACAAGGTGATAGCTGGTATTTTTGTAGAAGGACCTTAGTGAAGTGGAGCTGGGTTTAGAATTATTATAAGTGAATTCCGCTGTAGGAAGTCACCCTGTCATCCTGAAGATAGCTGACAAAACACCGCAGATAGTGCTCCAGGGTTTGGTTGGTCCTCTCACTTTGACCATTAGATTGAGGATGAAAATCAGAGGACAAATTAATTGTGACTCCCAGGGCTGTGCAAAAACTTCCAAAATTTTGAGGTAAACTGCACTCCTTTATCAAAAACCACATTATCAGGGATTCCATGCAATCTGAATATTTCTCAGACCATCAGCTTTGCAGTTTGTTCAGCAGTTGGTACCCCCTTGGTTGGGATAAAATGAGCCATCTTGGTGAGGCAGTCAACAACTACTAGGATAGTGGTCATCTCTTTAGCGGGAGGTAGATCAACCATAAAATCCATAACAAATTGACCCCCAAGGTCACGATGGGACTGGAAGTGGTTGGAGTAACCCCAGAGGGGAAGATCGGGGTGTCTTATTAAGTGCACAAGTCAGACATGAAGCAACATAGTGCTTTACATCTTTCTTGTAATCAGGCCACCAAAAGGTACATGACAAATGTTCTTCAGCTTTTGTGGCCCCAAAATGCCCTGCAAGTTTAGAGTCATGCACAAGCCTGAGGACTTCTACCCGAGCAGATTAGGGTACATAGAGACGATGGTCTTGACTCCATCATCTAACATTTAACTAACATTTAACGCCCAGCTTCGAATAATGTCCGATATGTTAATTTCATCTGGCCGAGCACTGAGGAGGAACGGGTCAGAACAGCTCCCCCTTCCTCATTGTTCAAATGCACTTTTGAGCACCTAGGAAGTTTCTATGTTTAGAGCAGTTTTATGTCCCTTGGGGACACTGGAGAAAAAGTTTATTTTGATATCACTACCCATATATATCCGAGGATGAGAGTGGGACCTCCTACCAATGTCCACAAAAGGTGTGCAGGACCAGGCATCAGGTCAGGTGTATGTCTAAATACTGAAAAATCAGACATAAAAGAAGCTATCAAGTGGTCTAAATCTCTAATATTTACTAAAACTGGTCAGTTCAAAAAAATAAAGATATAAAGAAAGGGGAGTGAGAGGTAAATAGGTGGCACCGTACCCCTGTGATATATTGCAACCGGTCAGTTCAAAAGTTCATTAATGTTCCCTTTTCAGATTCCACCGTCTTCCATCTCCTTCTATATAGAGTGGAAATATTTTGCACTGTAGATCAGCTGTAGAAATGTGTGAGTTTTAAACCTTAAAATAACTAGAGGCACCTTAGTTGTGTGTGCTTGTGTTTCTTACTATTAAAGTCTATGTGCAGCCATTTTAGGATAGAGTGTAGATTTAGATTTAGAACGCCTGTCCTCTTATGGAAATATTGTTCACTTCCTGTTCTGGTGACAAAGATTTTATCAGACAAAAAGTGAGGCTAATCCTCCAACAGCATCACAAATAGAAAGGCTGTTTAGACTCGTGGGGTTGATTTTCTTAGGGCAAATAGGCTGTTCACTTTGCAGATGAATTTGCACTTTACAAGGAAATGTTTCCCTTAGCTCAGTGAATGTGGTGAGAATTTACTTAGCAAAAGAAGACCAAATCACATGAAAGGAAAATACAAAATGTGTATTTGCTTGCAGATGATTGAATGATTAAAGTCACAAGAGCTTTTCCTCATTCAGTAAACTGAAGATACATTTCTGTGCAAAATGCAAATTACTTTACAAGGTGAACAGCCTATAAACCTTTACTAAATCAACCCCAAGGTGTTCTGACCATTTTATTCAACCAAAATAGTTTTCTGGTAACACCAGAGGTCATGCAATCAACAGTCTTGTCTTTGGAGGTAAGTGTACAGAATGGATTTGGTTTATGTTTAAGTTTATACTTTGACTTACTTAAAATGGCAAAATGAATGTATAACCAAGTACAATCAATAATAAGGTGAAAACATGGTTGGGGTAATGGAGCAAAAGCTCAGGTGTAAGTCAGTGGGCCAGGGGGCTGCTCATTATTTCAACAAAATAGTTTACCTAACATCTGAAACACAGATTTATTCAAGGGGATGGATCTTTAAAACACAAGATTGTACCTGGAAATAAGTGTCAGCTGTCTTATATGAGATAAATGCATGACATAAAAAAAAAGAGAAGTCGGTTTTTGTACGGCTTTGTATCACTGTGTGAGAGGGTCCTCACGATACTGCTGACAGTAATAACTTCCTTCATCCT